ATGCGCCCCGCTCCCCCCGCGCCGGCCTGGGCGCGGCCGCGTCCGCCCGGCGCGTCCTGACGCCCCCGCGCGGCGGCCAATCACCGCCCTCGCTCGCCGTGCGTGATGGCGTCACGGAGGGCCGCTTTATAAGCCGGCGGCGGCAGTCCCGCCCCCCTGACACTGCCTCGAGCCGCCGCCGCGAGAGCATCCTCCGCCCAGAGCCGCTCCCGCCGCCACAGCCGCCCCCGCCGCCGCCGCCGCCGCCTCCGCCGAGGGAAGGGAAGCGTATCGTATGTCCGCTATCCAGAACCTCCAGCCCTTCGGTGAGGCCCTTTGTGCGGCGGGGCCGGGGGAGCGCGCGGGCCCCGCCCCGGCCCCGCCCCGTGGCGCAGTTGCTATTCCGGGCCCTGTTGCGTCAGCCGCGGGGGGGGCGGGGCGGGGCCCGAACCTGACTGGCGGGCGAGGCGCCCAATGGGGTGCGAGCAGGGGAGGGATTTACACATGACTGGCAGGCGCGCGGGGGCGGGGATGAGGTGTGACTGACAGGGTGGGCGGCCAATGGGGCGTGCCCTGCGCGTGATGGGCGGGGGCGGCGGCCAATGGGGCGGCGGCGGGGCGGGGCCTGACGGCGCTCCCCGCAGACCCCTTTGCGGATGCAAGTAAGGGTGATGACCTGCTCCCGGCCGGCACTGAGGACTACATCCATATAAGGATCCAGCAGCGCAACGGCAGGAAGACCCTCACCACAGTCCAGGGCATCGCGGATGACTACGATAAAAAGAAACTGGTGAAGGCCTTCAAGAAGGTGGGGTTTTGGGGCTTGGTTGGGGGGGCGGCCACGCCCAGCAGGGGTGTTGGCGGTGCTAAGGAGGTTTTTTGTGTGTTTGCTGCAGAAATTTGCCTGCAATGGTACTGTAATTGAGCACCCCGAGTATGGAGAAGTGATTCAGTTGCAGGGTGACCAGCGCAAGAACATCTGCCAGTTCCTTGTGGAGGTAGGACGCCTTGAGCCTCGCTGGAATCGGCACAGATGTGTTAAATGCACACAGAGCCCCGGGTGGGGGCAGTTTGGGTGCACAGAGGCATCACCCCGTGCTGTGACTGCGTTTTCTGTCTTGCAGATTGGACTGGCTAAAGACGACCAGCTGAAGGTCCACGGGTTTTAAGTGCCTGTGGGCCCCTGGAGCTTTGTGCAAGAAGATATCCTTACCATGAACTTGCCACCTGTCCCTTGTGATAAGTTTAAAACCAGCCGGTTTGTGTAATGTAACGATCTTGGGTCCACTCGTGGGTCTGGACTGTTGTAATTGGTGATGTAATAAACTGACACGAGCCCATGCTATCTCGTCTGGCTGTGCCTCATTTCCCAGAGCTCACACGGGTGCTGGCACCATCCAGCCTGAGCCCAGGGACTGTGCTGATGGCTGCTCAGCCCAGCCGTGCCTCCGTCCTGCCAGAGGGGACTCTGTCCTGCCTGGTGCCACCTCTGGGCAGTGCTGGCTCCTGCAGGCAGAGGGATTTGGGCGAGCAGTGACAGAAGAGTGACCTGGAGGCACGATGGCTGCAGCTCAGGTGCTGGCACCTGCGAGCCCCGAGGTGCCAGGCACGTGGAGGAGCTGTCCCATGGGTTAAAGGACTGACATGAGCATCCCTGGAGCTGCAGAGCCTTGTGGCTGCTGCCTCACACCCTGTGCAGTGACATGGCTTTGGTTTCATTCCTAATGTTTTATTGTAATGTATTTAAAGTTATTTAAATAAAAGTGGTTTTCAAAAGCCTGTGCGTGGTGGGTTCCATCACTCCCAGGGGCCAAAGCAGCTTCTGCTCCTTCCAGCAGTGGTGCAGCCTCAGTGCTCGGGGCCTGGGGGGGCTCCCTGCCCTGGGGGTGCCCCCCACTGCAGGAGGAGGAAGTTCCCTTGGTGCTGAGTCATCCCCTGCCCTGAGCTCTGGTGTTCTGTCAGTCCCGTGGCAGGGTCAGCTCTTCTGCTTCCCAGAGCCTGCTCTGGGGAGGAGCAGGGGGTGCTCAGGGTCAGGCTGCCACAGGCCAGGGGCTGGGTGCTCACTCTTTTCTGAGCTCAGGCTCAACAAGCAGGAATGAAATCTCTGAAAAGCTCTGGCTGAGGGCAGTGATGGTCCTGTGATGGTCCTGTGATGGTTCCGTGATGGTCCTGTGATGGTCCTGTGATGGTCCCGTGATGGTTCCGTGATGGTTCCGTGGTGGTTCCGTGATGGTCCTGTGATGGTTCTGTGATGGTCCTGTGATGGTCCCGTGATGGTCCTGTGATGGTTCTGTGATGGTTCTGTGATGGTCCCGTGATGGTTCCGTGATGGTTCTGTGATGGTCCTGTGATGGTTCTGTGATGGTCCTGTGATGGTCCCGTGATGGTCCTGTGATGGTCCTGTGATGGTTCTGTGATGGTTCTGTGATGGTTCCGTGATGGTTCCCTGCTCCTTCTGGCACAGGAGCAGTGTGAAGTGCACGGAGATGCTAAAGAGTGCCCAGGGAATCCCTGAGTTTATCTCCCATTGTCCCCAGCCCCTGTGTCCTGCAGCATTCCCCCTGGGGTGCTGCTCCCACCCTGGCCACCTGCTGGTGCTCCTGGCAGCCCCCAGAGCAGCTCGTGGCCCTTCATCACTGCCACAGTGCCCCCATCTCCCGTGTGCTGCTCAGAGCACCGAGTTCACTTCCCTGCGAGACTTTGCTCTTGGAAACGGAATTGCTGCAATTATGCAAAACAGCAGTGAGTGCACCAAGGGTGACCTCCAGCCCTGCCCATGGCTCAGAGTGACCTCCAGCCCTGCCCATGGCTCAGAGTGACCCCCAGCCCTGCCTTGGAGTGACCCCCAGCCCTGCCCATGGCTCAGAGTGACCTCCAGCCCTGCCCATGGCTCAGAGTGACCCCCAGCCCTGCCTTGGAGTGACCTCCAGCCCTGCCCATGGCTCAGAGTGACCCCCAGCCCTGCCCATCCCTTGGTGACCTCCAGCCCTGCCTTGGAGTGACGGAGTGACCCCCCAGCCCTGTCTGTACCTCAGTGACCTCCAGCCCTGCCCATCCCTTGGAGTGACCCCCAGCCCTGCCCATGGCTCAGAGTGACCCCCAGCCCTGCCATGCCTCGTGAGCAGGTGTTGGTGCTGGCACGGCCCAACCTCTGCTCTGCTGCTGTGCCAAGAATTCCCGTGCCCCTGACTTCTCCCTGGTGGACTTGCCAGGCTGCTGAGAGATTTGGCACTGCCAGGACAGCTGGCCCCAGCCAGGCAGGGGTGAGGGGAGCTCTGTCCATCCTCCAGCCCAGCCTTGGAGAAGGGTCCAGCCCCAGTGCCCACAGGCTGGTAACAAACCTGCGTCAGGCTGGTGGCCCTGGAGGGCGCGGCCGCCACGTCCCCATCGCCCTGACGGCTCATTTGGTCCAGATTGAGCCATTAAAAGGCAGAAATTGGAAAACAATTTGTTTGTTCCTCGCTCGGTGCTCGGCGGAGCGAGCGATCGATGGCCGCGGGCGCTGGACGGCTCCCGGCCATCCAAAGCACATTTGTTTGGGGTGTTTGTTTGAGGAGCACTGGCTCAGCTCCTTGGGGACGGGGGACAGTGACGTGCCCCAGCCCAGGATGTCACTCTCAGGTTTGTTGAGGGAGGGAGACAAATGGTCTCTGCAAATACAGGGGTGGGGGGTCAATAGAGGCAGCAGGAACCGTCAATACCCACTGGGGGTGGGTGGAAACGGGACCTTCAGGGGCTCTGACAGCGTGGGGCCCCCTCTGCCACACACCCCAAAGCTTCTGGGGTGCAGGGACAGAGCCAGAGCTGCTGGATCTGCCCTGGGCTCTGTGACTGGTGAGGGGCCTCACAGACACAGCCCCCAGCCCCGGGCACAGAGCCCTGGGCAGCCCTGGCACAGCATGTTATAAACATGTGCACACGCCTGGGTGTGGGTACAGACACAGACACACACGGGAGAATGCACATATGTACACACACAGGCTTCTGTATGCACATATGTACGTGTTCATGTGTGTTTATACAGATATATGCACATATATTGCTATTTGTAAGTGTAAATATGTGTGTATGTCTATGCATGTATGTGTGTGTATATATATTTGTGAATACTTGTATATACACATGTATATAGACATGTACATATAAACATGTGCATATATGTATATGTGTATTTATGTAAGCATTCATATATATACATATATCTGTGTTTCCATACATACACGCATATATATATATACACACATATATGTATTAACTATATATCTAAATATATAAATAGAAATATAGAAATATATAGAGATATATATGTGCATGTATGTGTGGATACATACATCCATGCTATATATATGTCATGCTATTCCTTATGCATGTCATATATGTCATGCTGTTCCTTATGCATCCATCCCCACCCTCCATCACTCCCTGATGTACAGCTACCTCATGCAGTCATCCACATAAACACACCCATGTGCACACGTGTGTCCATGCCTGTAGCTGTGGCTCTGTGTCCATGTGCACATATGGATACCTGGGTGTATTTACATGGATTCATCAGCTATGTTGTCTATTAGAGATGTATGCATATATATCTGTCTTTTATACTGTATAAATCCTATATATTACACTGTATTATTTATGTGTGGCTGTGCGGATCTGGCTGTCTGTGGGTCTGGATCTGTCTGTGTGTCTGTGTGGCTGTAGGGGTCTGTCCCTGTGTGTCTGTCCCTGTCCATGTGTCTGTGTGGCTGTATGGATCTGTCCCTGTGTGTCTGTCTCTATCTGTGTGTCTATATGTGTATTTATGTAAGCATTCATATATATACATATATCTGTTTCCATACATACATACATGCATATATATATACACACACATATATATACACATATATATATTAACTATATAATAAATATATAAATAGAAATGTAGAAATATAGAACTATAGAGAGATATATATGTGCATGATGTGCGGATACATATATCCATCCTATATATATGTCATGCTGTTCTCTATGCATGCATCCCCACCCTCCATCACTCCATGATGTACCATTACCTCATGCAGTCGTCATCCATATAAACACACACGTGTGCACACGTGTGCCCATGTGCACACATGGATACCTGGATGTATTTACATGGATTCATCAGCTATGTTGTCTATTAGAGATGTATGCATATATATCTGTCTTTTATACTGTATAAATCCTATATATTACACTGTATTATTTATGTGTGGCTGTGCGGATCTGGCTGTGTGTCTGGGTCTGCCTGTGTGGCTGTGTGTCTGTCTCTGTGTGGCTGTGGGTCTGGATCTGTCTGTGTGTCTTTGTGGCTGTATGGGCCTGTCTCCGTGTGGCTGTGTGTCTGTCTCTGTCTGTGTGTCTGTCTGTGTGTCTGTCCCTGTGTGTCTGTCTCTGTCTGTGTGTCTGTCTGTGTGTCTGTCCCTGTGTGTCTGTCTCTGTGGGTCTGTCTCTGTGGGTCTGGCTGTGTGTCTGTGTGTCTGTCCCTGTGTGTCTGTTTCTGTCTGTGTCCGTGTGTCTGTCTCTATCTGTGTCCCTGTGTGTCTGTCTCTGTCTGTGTGGCTGTATGGATCTGTCCCTGTGTGTCTGTCCCTGTCCGTGTGTCTGCGAGCACGCAGCGATGCCCGAGGCCCCCCCGGCCTGGCTGGGTGTGTGTCTGTGTGTCTGTCCCTGTCCGTGTGTCTGTGAGCACGCACCGATGCCCAAGGCCCCCCCGGCCTGGCTGGGTGTGTGTGGAGCCGCCCTGGGGCGTGGCAGCCCCGGCAGCGCCTTTAAAAGCAGGGCTGAGCTGGGCTGATCTGGGAGAGAGAAACCCACTGAGACCCCCCGGGACCCCCACCAGGACACCCTCAGGACACCCAGGACACCCTCAGAGCCTCAGAACCCACAGGTGAGTCTCACAGGGCTCTGGCACTGCCTGCAGGTGACCTGGGGAGAGAGGGATGGAGAAAACCCGAGCAGCAGATGGGAGGGACAGAGCAGCTCAGAGAGCCACTGAGAGGAGCAGAGGGGACCTGGGGACCTCTTCCTGGAGGAGAAGCTCCCCAGCTGCTGGAGTTCAGGGAGGAGCTGGGTGATGCTTTAGTTTTCAGCATCCTTGCAAGGAGCCAGGAGTGGGACTTGATCCTTATGGATCCTGCCTTGACTCTGTTTCTGGGGGAATTGGGGACCAACCAGGAGAGAGGGATGGGATGGAAAAGACTTGGGGAGAAGGTGAAAGGGATGGCGGGGACTTGGGGACCCAAAGGGAGGGACAGAGGAGATGTGAACTGTCCATGAGCTGGGGCTGAGTGCTCACCACAGGCTGAGCAGTTTGGGAGCTGTGAGCTGCAGCTGCCCCATTCCCCCCGTTCAGTGTCCCCACAGCCATGAAGGTGACGCTGTGCCTCGGGCTCGTCCTCGCCCTCGCCGTGGCCTCCTGCCTGTGCCGGCCACCAGCAGAGCCAGCAGCTGCCCCGGGGGACCCCCAGCAGCCCCTCCCCAGCCTGGCCCGCCGGGACTGGCCCCAGTACCTGTCCCAGGAGCAGCAGCACCTCCTGTCCCAGTTCCTGCCCCACGTCCTCACAGGTACCGGCAGCTCAGGGTGGGCAGCCTGGCCCCCGTGAGGGGATCAAATTCCAGCAATTTCCAGCTCTAACTGCTGCCTTTGCCCTGGCAGAGCTGAACAAGCACAAGGCCTTTGTGCATGAGGATGAGGGGATGGAGGCTTTGCACGACCACTTCTACCCCGACTGGATGGACTTTGGGCGCCGCAGTGCTGAGGATGAGGCTGGGGCTGCGTAGCTCTGGGCTGCACTGGCTGGGCAGGGCACTGCCACGCTCCCTGCCTGCCCTTTCCTCAATAAAAATCTGGCACCACGGCCTCTGCACTCCTGCCTGTGCTGGGGAGAGCCTGGGAGGGCGGGCAGAGGGATTTGCCCCCAGCCCCAGAGGGATTAGCCTCAGAGGGCAGAAGGGATTTGCCCCCAGCTGTAAAGGGCAGAAGGAGGCGGGCAGAGGGATTTGCCCCCAGCCCCAGAGGGATTAGCCCCCAGCCTCAGAGGGCAGAAGGGTTTTGCCCCCAGTCCCAGAAAGCAGAAGGGATTTGCCCTTAGCCCCAGAGAGGATTAGCCCCCAGCCCCAAAGGGCAGAAGGGATTTGTCCCCAGCCCCAGAGGACAGAAGGGATTTACCCCCAGCCCCAGAGGGATTAGCCCCAAAGGGCAGAAGGGATTTGCCCCTAACCTCAGAGGGCACAGGGGATTTGCCCCCAGCCTGAGACAACAGAGGGAATTTGCCCCCAGCCTGAGACAACAGAGGGGATTTGCCCCCAGCCCCAGAGGGATGCACAGGACAGAGACTGAACAGGGCACAGCAGCACACACAGAATGTGGCAGCAGACACAGCACACAGCAGCTGCTCTGTGAATTCACATTTATTTCCAGTGCATGGGGCACAGCTTGGAGGGAGGGACACAGCTGGGGGGAGCAGCAGATGCACCCCCAGAAACACCCCAAGCTGTGGGTGCTGCTACTATTGCTACTGAGTGAGCAGGAAAGAGCTAAACCACCATTCCCTTGTAAAGCCAGCCCAGCCCAGGTGCTGGCCAGGGGCCCAGCCCGGGGTGCAGGGCTCTCCCCCTGGCCCCAGCAGGTTGCCCCAGGCCACACCTGAGCCCAGACTGGGATTCACCCTCCCTGCAGCATCTGGACAGCCCCAGACGGGCCGAGCTGCCCCTCGCTCTGCAGACAGGCTCAGCAGAAGCAGGAACAGTTTTTATTGCCAGAAACTGGCTCCTGTGAAGGGTCCACACTCCCCCAGCAGGGACAGGGTCAGCCAGCAGCCCCTGTACCCCCCATACCTGGGGAGCAGTGCCAAGTTCTGTCCTTGCAGATGGGGCAAAGCCCCCCATGCTGGTGCCAGGACCTGGGGCAGCAGCAGGAGCTGAGGCTGGAGCTTGTCCTGTCTCCATTTCCCCATGGATGGGTGAGGAAGAGGATGTGTCTCACCCAGAGCCTGGGGGCTCTGCAGCAGTGTCACTTCTGGGTGCCCCAGGCCCCTCTGAGCCCTGGCTGGGCACAGGGTGTCCCTCCTCTGGCCACCACCTTGTCCAGCCCCAGGCGCTGCAGCTTCTCCACCAGGTTCCAGCTGAAGGTGCTGCTCCTGCCTGGGGGTCCCCGCTGCCCCCCGGGCACAGGGGGCACAGGGGGCTCGGGGTGCTGAGGGTGCTGGGAGTGCAGTGAGGGGGCCCACCGTGATGCAGTCCTTGGTGCCAAGTGGGGATCTCGCCCCAGCAGGAGCCTGAAGAGTCCCGGGGGGGTGCTCGGGGGTCCAGGGCCAAGAGCCAGCGTGGGGGGAGTCAGTTCTGGTGGGGGGCTGCTGGGGCTCAGCCCCTCAAAGGGCCCACAAGAAGGCACGACGGCATGATACAGACTGGAGGGGAAGAGAGAGCAGAGGGGGATGCTGCTGAGGGGGCCAGGCAGGGCTGCAGGCAGAGCAGGACCCCCCTTCTTCACCTAAAGAGCCTTGGGCTGTAGGAGACCCCCCCAAATTCACAGGAGAGTGCTGGGGGCTGCTCCTCAGCAGCCAGGAGAGACTGGGACACAGCCACTGCTCCACCAGCAATTTCCAGACACCAGGGTTTTGTCTAGCCCCTTAGGGGGCCTCATTAGGGCTAATCACCGGTGCTCGTTAATGAAGGGACAGCCCGGCAGCCGGCTGCGAAAAGTTCCTGGCTGCTGCCCAAGTGTGGAGGGAGGAAAGCTGTGTCGGTTCCCCAGAGTGCCAGGAGCACTCGCTGCTCCCCTGCCCGAGGAAGGCTCTCCATCCATCCATCCATCCATCCATCCATCCATCCATCCATCCATCCATCCATGTGCTGCATGCCGAGGAGGGGGCTGCCCCCAGCCCCGGGCACACAGACACCCCCAGCAGCCAGATTTGGGGAGATTTCCAGTGCTGGCACCTCTCAGAGCATCAGGGGCTGCAGGACGTGGCTTGCCACGTCCTCGAGCTGCAGGGAGCCAGGCGGGGGTGAGGAGGAGGAGGAGGAGGAGGAGGAGGAGGAGGAGGCTCGCGGCAGGCAGCGCAGGCGGCGGGGGCCACGCGCCTTACCTGGGAGTCACCGTGGTGATGGCAGTGGTGGGGTGGAGGATGTGGCAGGTGGTGATGGTGAAGGTAGACGGGGTCTGGGGGAGGTTGTTAACAGAGAGGAACACTGGAAGGGACAGGAGACAAGGGGTCAGGACACACACGGAGGGCAGGCGGGACGGCCAAAGCTGGGCTGGAGGCTCCTGGTGCAGGGCACAGATTCAGCAGCAACTGCGTCTGGGGCCTGCTCAGAAGGAGCACCAGCACAGGTGGGGCCAGGAGATGCCGTCTGTCCCAGACCAGCCCCTTCCAGGCAGCGGGGGGACAGCAGGGGCTCGGCAGGGGGATGGCTCGGGCTCATCCCGCCGGGGCAGAGCAGTCCCTGTGCAGCTGCAGGCCGAGCATCCCCCTGGGGACAGCGGGGTGGCAGGGACAGGCTGCTGCGAGAGGGGAGAGCACGGGGGGAGGCGAGAGCCGGCCGAGACAGGAGGGCAGGGGCACCCCGGGGGCTGTGTCCCCTCTGTCCCCTCACCCCCCGCTCACCCCTGGGATGCTCCTTGGCTTTGGCGGGTGTTGAGGTAGGGAGCAGCTGGAAGGAGCTGGCGTCCACATCATCCTCCTCCAGGTCATTGAGGCTGTAGACCTCCTCCAGGTCGATGTCCAGCTGCCTGAAGTCTTTGGTGAGCACCCCGGGACGGGGCACCAGGATCCCACCCAGGTTGGGCTGTGCCAGCTGCTGCCAGTGGTGGAGTGTCACAGAGCCTGGGGGGGAGGACACAGCCGAGGGGAGCTCAGGTGGGGGTGTTGGACCCTCAGAGCACCCGCAGCTCTGCATCCCCTCTGCCCCTCACCTTCCAGAGGCTTCACAATCTGCAGTTTGTCGGGTAAGTAGGTGAGGGAGCCCAGCGAGAAGCCGGAGCCGGCGGTGAGCTCCGAGCCCCCCGAGCAGTTGGTCCCGGTGGAAACAACGCTGCCCTCGGGGGTGAGGAAGCCGCTGGAGCTGTCCCCATCTCTCAGCCGCCAGAGCTTGCGTTCCCTCTCGGCCTCGAAGAAGGAGCGCTCCTGAGAGCCGTGGCTCTGCTGCCGCGCCGAGAGCCGCTGCACCGCCGCCTCCAGGTCCTGCCGGCCCGGGGCTGCCCGGGGCTCCTCGCCGAGCCCCCCGGCCCTGCTGAGGGGCACAGCGTTGGGGCTGCAGCCCTACCGTGCACCCCAGGCTGTGCTGGGCCCCAGCCAGACCCTGCTTTCCCTGCCCCAGGCTGCTTCCAGCATCTCACAGCAGCCCAGCTCCGTGCAGGAGCTGTCCCACCTGCTCCATTTCCCCCCACCTGTCTCGTTCCCCCTCACCTGCCCCGTTCCCCCTCCACCTGCCCCGTTCTGCTTCCCACCTACCCTGTTCCCTCTCACCTGCCCCATTTCCCCCCCACCTGCCCCATTCCCCCCCACCCCAGCACTCACTGGGCATCCTCCGAGCCAGAGCAGTTGGTGTGGGGGGTGCTGGCCCCCCCAGAGTGGGCAGTGGACGACTGCTTGGAGCCCGGGACGTGGTGGGGAGACTCAGAGCAGGACTTGGCTTTGCCTGCCTGCTTCACGGCCTTCACGGTCTCGAAGACGCGCTGGTAGCTCCTGCGGGCAGGAAGCAGCTCGGGGTGAGCCGGACCCCGCCCCAGGGCACGGCACCAGCCCCCCATGGCAGCACCCACTTGTAGTCCGAGGAGGAGCTGTCCGTCCTCTTCCTCATCATCCCCTTGATCTCGGCCGCCAGCGAGTCCTGGGGACAGGGGTGGGCAGTGTCAGTGCCGGGGGGACAGCGGGGTCACCCCGTGCCGCCCGGCCCCCCGCTCACCACGGGCAGGAGGCTGGCAGCGCTGTAGCGGCTCACGGTGCTGTTGGGCAGGCTGCGGCTCCGCAGGCTCTTCACCTCCTCCCGGGCCTCCTGCAGCATCCCGCCGCACTCCGCGTACTTCTCCTGCAGATCCCGCAGCTGCGAGGACACCGAGGCAGCTGGAGCGCGGCCCCGGGGCAGGACCCCGCCCCGGGGGGACACCCGCGGCCCGCCCCGGGCTCACCTCCAGCCGCAGCTGCTGCTGCACCTCCCTGGCCGCGCTCAGGTGCTGCTGGAGCTCCTCCACCTCGGAGCCGTACTGCGGGCAGGAGCGGCGGGTCAGGGCGCTGTGCCCGCACCCCCGTCCCCCCGGCACGGGCAGGGGACCCTCACCGTGCGACACTTGTGCTGCAGGTCCGCCACCTGCGCCAGCAGCTGCGTGATCTCCTCCTGCTGCCGCGCCGCGTCCTCCGCCCTGTGCGCCAGCTCCTCCGACAGCTGAACGACCTGCTGGCTCGCTTCGGCTGCGGGAGGACAGGGTCACCACCGGGCACGACCCCCAGCCCTCTCAGCAGGGCAGTGCCCGCCGAGCCCCGAGCCCTACGTACAGAACTGCTCCACGCAGTCGATCATCAGCTGCTGCTCCTGGTCCTCGTACTGGCAGGTCTCGGTGGCGATGTTGGTGGCCTGGGGGAGAGGGTTGGGGGCTGAGCGTGACAGGCAGGACCTCCTGTCTCCCTGAGGGGTGTTCCCCAGAGAGAGCAGGGCACGGGTGGGCACTGAGGGGCACCCAGCAGCTGGCTCTGCTCACCTCCATGCGGAGCTTCTGGTTCTCCTCCTCCAGGCACCGCAGTTTCTGCTGCAGGGTGTCGTACTGGAAGTACTGCTGCAAGGACAGCGAGGACTCGTGCCTGCGCAGCCTGGGGACAGCAGGGACGGCCTGAGCAGCACA